TGTGACTTTCCCCTCAAAAACTGCCATCAGAACAAAGTAGTCTGAAATCCAGCTGTGATGCACTACAAAATCTGGCAGCTGAGTTAAACAGACCAAAATACAGAACACTCTTGATGGCTTGTTCTAACAATAGACTTTGCTGAATGTTCCAGTTAAAATGATCAAGATGTTTGGGGATTGCGGTAACATTTTTAATATTAAGTTTTAAAACTATTTCAGAAGCTGAGGAAAAGAAGAAACAAAAATAAGAGATAATGATTAAATAACAAGTTTGTGACAGTATCCGGGTATTTGCTTTTTCACTTCCATTCGTAATTGAAATCACATTTGATTGTGTTGCAGGCGCCATGCTGTATCACTGCTCTAACCTACTGATCCTATTGCACTTCACACTTTCAGGGTCAGGTCCACTCTCCTGTCGATGCCCATGGGCTCCTCTCATTAACAGTAATGGCAAGTAGGCATGCACATCAGTGGGAGAATTAAACGAATGTTTAGCTGTTACTGAGAATTCTGCTTCAGGAGGAAGTCAGTCTGCCTTACAAGTGACAAGCCATAATTTTAAAGACTGCTTTAAACAGGACAGCTTTTTTTTCCTGCAGAAAAGTGTGACGAGTAAGTGAAGGGCTCAATACAACTCCCAGTTAAATGAAAGGGCATTCTGCTGTTAGTTTCAAGTTGGAACAGCTCAGGCCAAAAGGCTTCCCCTCAAACCTCATTCTCTGATTTTATTGCAGACTTTTTGTTAGAACTTGTAGGTATAAGAGCAATCTGTATTCAATTCCTACATTAAAACGTCTCCTTCAAAGAAAAAAGTCGTTGTCTTCTGCTTCACTGTATTAAAACTGACGGTTTGCATTTCAGAAATCTTGGTGAGTTGGACAGGTCACAGAAATTTTGCACCAGTACCTTATTGTAAGAGGTGCAGAGTGCCCTTGGTCCAGTGACTGCCACAGACAGCTTCTCAAGGTGCTGGGGAATTTGCAGGAGCAAGTCATTAGGGAGAAAAGAGAATAAATCAGTAACACAAACACAAATTCTAGACAAGAACAAAAATTGCTCCAAAGGTGTGAAAAATGGGAAGGTACTGGTACTGGCACTGCATCTGCCATCAGGAATGGTTGCAAAAATAAACAGGTGAAAATATCTCCTACAGTAAATGCCATAAAATCTGTTTTCAGCTGAAGTATTCTCTTAATTGATAAACGATGTTCAGTAAGAGCACATACATTCATTCCAAGGGCTCACCACATTTCGAAATCTAATTATTAATGAGGTTAGAGGATTTTAATTGGATTTAGAAATTGTGTCATATTTCTCCAGTAGCAGAACTTGCATCTTGCCTAACTTCTGCTTTTGCAGTCATATCTTGCAGTGTGGTTACAACGTGGATGTCTTAAGTCCTGAGCATGAGGCAGCACCACTGGTAAGATTCAAAGACGAAGCACCACTGGTAAGATTGAAAGACGAAGCTTTGAATCTTACCAGTACTATCCTCCTTCCCTGTGCCGCCTGGCTGAACGGGGAACAGAAGCATGGCTCTGCTGACTCCTTGCCTCCACGTATGTGGGAGACAGCGATGTCCTGCCGACGCTGTACAACCTCTCATCCTTCTGCGCAGTGATTTCATGCTTGCCTGTACTGCCCTTCACAATCCTGCCCTTACCACAGAAAGGAACTAACCAACCTTTTCGTATTTATAATACTTTAAGAAGATGTATGTGAAATGTTCTAAACATTAAACCAAACAGATCATATGCAGAAAGGATGCAATATTTTCAAGAATAGAATCTGTAAGAACGTCACTGTTCTATAATTATTTAAGGCTACACTGACAGGAAACAGATTCAATTCAAGAACTGTAATCTCTACATGGTATATTGGCAGACAGAAAAGTAATTAATTTGATAAACTCTTCCAAGTACTTCCTGTACTTTTGAACAAAGGTAAACAACAAAAAGCTATGAAAAAAAAGCACAGACAACTCTGAGGAAAACACAAATGCCTCTAATTTGTTTCTGATACTTTGTTCTTCAGAAATTCTGTTCCATGCTTAAGACCTAACTGAATGCACACACTGTATGTATAAGCCCTTATGCAGCGTTTAAGAAAAACAATATCTAAAGGCAGATTTCAAATACAAAAGTATAAGTTTGCATAAAGCAATAAGAAAAACAAAATTACAAACAAATCAGAAGAATGAGATCTAGGAAGAAAAAACAACATGACAGCTATTGATACTATAACTAATTCATAAAAATCCCAGGGCGAATCCAATTATTGGTGTGACTGGTTTTCCATGGCAAATCCACATTCTACTGCCTCAAAATTAAACATTCATTTCCATTCTTTATACATTCAGTTCCCAGCCTTTGTACAGTATAAATCCAAGTAAGCCAAACCTCCCTCTGTGAAGCACAGACTGGACCCGGATACCTTGGGAAAAGATCTAGAAAGAGATTCCTCTTCCCAAATGTGCCCAACACAGACTACTATAAATCTCTGCTGTGCCTAAATTAAGATTTCAATGTCTTCGAAATCTGAATGGTTAGATGTAAAACTGAAGCAACGCAACCTACAAACAGAAAAACAAGTCATGACACAGTTTAGTTTAATTTGGTTCTGTAAGAGGTTATTTGCTGCACCTTCCAAACTGATTTCTTCATTTGTTCAATGGTGATGTGTTAAGTATATTCTCCACTGGAATTAATTTGCTCAGTTCTTGCTGTTAAATACTGTACATTATTTTATAAAGCAAAACCTGCACAAAGAGACAGCCATCAAGCGACAACTTTCAGCTTTAGGAAAGAGCACCCAAATAGCCACATCCATTGAAAAATTGCTTTTGAACAGCTTCTAAGTCAGTGTTTCTATTATATGGAAAGCTGAAAGGATTGGGAAAATCTGAGCATTTTCCTTATGCATATAAAATTAATGCTGATTTTTTATTAAGTTCTACACTCAACATTACATTTCACAAACTGAGCAACAAAAAGGACTGAAAGAGACAAATTGTATTGTATTACTGCAAGACCATTCCTGTTTAAAGAAAGTTTTTGCATTATTTGTATTTAGTAAATAAAGCTTCTGTAAATGAAGCAGCAGTGCAATACCAGGGGGAAAAAAAAGCCTGTAATAATGTTTTAAATCTTTAAATCAATAAAAACTGAAAGCCTGGCTCTGCAAATAAACCTCTCAAAAGGCACCAAATAAACCAAGAAGTGGAACTACAATATCCTTTAAAAAGGACTTAATGAAATTGTTAAGTAGCGTGAGAATTTGAGAACCACGTGAAATATCTTTATTATAGCATACTCACTGTCTCCAATCTCACTGTACTTGGCTGTCTATACACCCTAAAGCCAGGATTGTTCAAAGGTATTATAAAGAAATTCAAGAGACAAACATTTGTCCTAATGAGAATGCTCGAGGGTACCACTAATTCTCTCAACAAAATCCAAAACTTCACTCTTCTACCCACCAAGGGCTACAACAGTCAGTGAGGTCCCACATTAGTAAGACATCACCATCATTTATAAGAAAAAGAATCGCTTGCTTTCCATACAGCGACAATTAAAAGTAAATGAAACTTACAGTTACAGGCCAAAAGAATATTCGAATTGGGAAGCTTTTTAAAAACATGTTTACTCAATAATCCACAATTTCAGTAATATGAATTAGATTCAGCAGGCAGTAAATTAATGTGATTCCAGTTAAAGTATTTGGGACAAATAGGAATCTCAGAAGCACTAATATTTCCCTAATTTTGGTGGAAGCCATGAGTGTTTATCTGATGGCAAACTCTCTTGTGATACCGCGGCTTCTCAACTGTGTCATTAGAAAGCTGTGTTTCCCAACCTGAACGTAAGCAAAGCAAACTTCTACTTTGGGTGTGAACATTCATTCAATTGCTGGCAAATCACTAGAAAAATAACTTACTGATGTTCTCTTCTCCAAGAAGGAAGGTAAAAACTCCTGGTCTGCTCTCTACTTCCAGCAAATGGCATACGGTAATCCCTAAAACAGCTCGGAAGGGACTCAAACGGATACCTATTTCAACCAAAGCCATAGTATTTCGCAGTCTTTCGACCTAACTTCCAACTGCTGACATTTTAAAGAAATCCGTATCAATTTATTTAACGAAAATATATTTTAGTAAAGTCGTGCTCTATGAGCTTCCTACATTGGAATACATGAATACAGGAAGTGCTTTCAACAGAAAGTTACATAGTTTTACAGTACAACCTGTCTAAGGAGATTTGGAAGGGACCAAACTAATGATCTGGTCTCTTTGGATTAGGCAGAAGTACAGGCAAGAGGGAAAAACCCAATTTATGCCATATATAGAGCTCGTTCCTGTCACAGATTGAAGAAACATTAGTTTGATGTCAAAGTTCACCTGATGCCCAAATGCTAGTATTTTTCAAACCAACTGCATATCAAAAAGTGAAAACTTACTTGTACTAAGCTCCTGGAAACTCAGTGTAAAACAACAGTATATTCGTATTTGCTATATTACTAAGTGTTCTCCACCGGTGGGTTTTTTTTCTTTTGCTCTACAGATCATTAACTTTTTCCCCAAGTGCAAATTATTGACCTTTAATCTGAATGCAGGCAGGTCAGAAGCTACAGTATTAGAGCAATACAAAAAGTACACAAAGAGGAGCTTACATTAATTTGGAGAACTTTACATAAAATGTTTCTGAATTGAAAACCACAAAACAAACCCAAACAAATACAGCATCAGGTGGATGGGGGAGAGACCGCTAATGTATCTGTGTACAGCAAGGCTTCTCTGACACCAAGGAAGTGTTTGACACTAAGTGAAGATTATATATTAAATCCCACCATTTTGCATGTTGTGCATTCTTTACGAAGGAATGTTGACCTCAATTTTTGTTTTTTACTTCCACAACAAATCTGTTGATTGTGACCGGGGATGATCATCTTCTTGAGAGACCAAACTCCCTTAAAACCTCGACTGCACTTTGTACCATCCATTACGATTCTAGTAAAGTATGCCATCTACATACTTGCTGTCCTTTGGATTCTTTCATTTCAGTCCAGTGATTGAGTTCATCTTCTCCTGAGCTGTTGAGACCTAAGGAAATCCACCCTATCATCTCTTTTCGTTTCATGCTGCGCTTATTATATACAGACAGTATGAGCGTCACATCTGAAAGCTGAAACAGTGCCACTTGGAAAACGAAGGTTTCTTTGTATACTGGATTTGGCTGTCCTCGGCGGATTGAAGTTTTGCATTTGGACATCTCTTGCCCCATCGAGTTCAGCAGTGTTAACTTAACATATGTATCTACAAAATAAATCATATTTTGGAATGTCAGGTATCTTAGAACAAAAGTTTTTGAGAATGAGATATTTACAAGACACAAGGATATGGTGTATACCAGGCTGACTGAACACAGCTTAGTTTAGACACATGAAAAGATGACAAGTAAGCAAAGTATTACAAACACAATAACAAATTAACTAGCTTCAGTACTATGTAAATGGGTTAAGTTAAAGGTATACCTCATAATCCTCTTCCCGTTGACCCCCCTTATTTGTCCTAAACAAACTTAAATTGCATTAACACTTAGCAAGCTCCAACTAGCCACAACACTGTAAAGCACACCACTGAATTTTCCGAGAATAAGAATAAACAAAGTAGAATGAAGGCAACTAATGAAGAGAAAAAAAAATAACATTGATGTGCAGTGATGATATCAAAACAGCCAGAATGAAATGCTTAAGAATAATCTCTGCATGGATGTGGCTCTCACTTCGGGCTTTCCAATTTTATTTATTTTAAAGACCAAAATGTAGCAAAGTGTATTCAAAGGTAGAAGTTTACACAATACAAAAAACTTCTTAATTCCTAGATTCATGAAGGAATACATTTAATACACCTTTAAAGAGAAATAAGTTTTTGCATCATTCAATATGGTTGTTTAAAACATAGCTTGTACAGTGCTCTTAGGAAATACATTTAAGAAGCTGATGCAAGTAAATGTGGTTAGCACACATTGGCTGTTAGTATTCGGGTATAAACCTTTATTTGTAAAGCTCTATTTTCATTTGACTAGAAGCACCAAGCCATGTTTCTGCAGAAGGATGCGCTATTTTCATTTGACTAGAAGGCACCAAGCCTGTTCCTGCAGAAGGATGCGCATTTCCTGAATTTATAAGATTGATTTTAAGAAATATAAAACTGTATGAAACAATCTGTTTTTTCATTCTTTATTCCTGTCATATTCATGTTAATGAATAATATCACTAGAAGATTGGAGTTTATATAAAAAGATACACATCGAATATTTTCACTTTGCAGGTACACTGAAATCCCAACATCCATAATCAGAGATAAATGCAACTTTTGCATTAGAGAGTGCCACAAATAATAAAGATACACTTTTATAAACCAATATGGTAGGCAGCCGTGGATAGCTTTACTGCTGGCAAGTTTTCTTTTGCATGAAAAAGACAACATCCAATTAGTTTCTACAGGAACTCACCTCGGATTATATAAACCTGTCCACCTATCAAGTGTTTTAGACAACAGAACAGTCCGTCTGACAACAGGGGGTGGAAAGCAGTAAAAGAAATAATGACCAGATGTCAATAGTTGGGTGAGAGAGGATCAAAGGTTAAAGTTTAAGAGGAAATACTATTCACTGGAGTGGAAGAACACAAAACCTTAGTAGCACAGATCAGAAAAAGGATTGAACGAAAGGATTGTTAGGTAAAATTTAATGAAATGAAAATTTTGTGCAGTTTTTGTGTAATCTTTAACAAAAATTACACCTCTTACATAATGGGTTATCTTAGCACTAATAGCTACTGGGTTCTAAAGCACACTAAACGTAGAAAGAATCATGCAAACGATTAGGTTACAGAAGACTGGGTAAAAAATCACTGTATCCTTTTTATCAAACCTTATGCTTTTTCATGCAAACTCCAGCATATTAAGAAAAACTGCACACAGTAATTATACTTCATATATTAAAAGCAATAAAATGAAAAATCACTGAACTGAAAACTAAGCTGGTTTTGCTCTTAGCTTTTATAATTACAGATATTTGATTGTAGTACTTCCATTCTTGAGTAGTGATGGACTTGGGCACGAGAATGACTCTCATCTAATCTCTAAAAATACCTGAGAGATGCTTACATCTGAAATTCAACTATGGGTCTCTATTTAAAATGTAAAGATCTCACTTGTTAAAATCCATGTATTTATGGATTTAACATGTGTTTGCATGCATACACACACATGCGTTTAATGTGCAAAAGCTCATACCCCGTTTCAACAAAATTTTAAAGGATACTAAGAAGCATCTCTTTCTCAGACAAAGTATTAACTGTCACGCAGGGAAACGAAGACACATTCTAACATCAAATGTTACTGCCTGCAGGATTTGGCCTATTTGCTTGTACTTAGTTGCTAAATGAGTTACTATAGAACATAAAAATATGCAGCAGAGGAGTACATACTACCAAGAAGCAGAAATGTAGGACTAAATCCGTATTTGCTGCAGAAGCATTTCACAAAAATTGCATAGGTTCACAACTCCTAGACTACAGAAAGGATCGCATGTGGGAAAGAATTGCTTCCCTTTCTAGCACAGTTTCTCAAGACCTGAATGAAAACTGACCTGTGCATGTACTTTGCAGCACTTCTCAGGATTTTGGACCACTGATGCTCCAAACAACAAATCTGAGCAGAGCGTTTCATCATCAACCCTACGGGCCTTAGTTTTCATTTTGTGGAAATGATGGCACAGAGAGAGGCTGGTATGTGTCCACGATGCAGTTGACAGGCAGTTAGGAAATGGCAGTGGTATGCACCTGGGTCCAGGAGTTTACAAGAAGGTGCTGCCACTGCCGGCGGGGGAGGGAGATGGCACAAAACAGCCCACAGGAGAAATTTGGATTCCACAACATTCTGTGCATGGTCTTACCAGACCTAGAAAGTGCATTAGTTTCCAGCTTTCTAGAAACAACAGAACTCCAAACCTGCATTTGCCTGAACAGAACCGGACTATTATTATTATGAACACCAAAACTTCCCCCCATCCTTCGCAGGCGACGACAAAAGGTAACACACAAGATCTTGTGTGTTACCACAAACTCCAAAAAGGTTAGACAGAACATGGTATTACAGGGCTATGTGCCATGTTCTATGCTGCTTTCTTGCAATCTGAAGCAGATTTTTGATCCCAGTGACACACACAACTGTTAGCTAGACAGCATGGGCCCAGAGAGCACATTTTGGGAATTAACATACCAGGGAATGAACATATCCGTCTTCAAAACAAGTACTGAACCCCCATCTAACTTGCATATTCTAAATATTAAGAAAAACTTGGCTTTCTCTAGAGATTCCAGAAAGATAAGCATAAGCCACCTACTGTTTTTTGCTTTAAGGGAACACATAGTCCCTTCTCTCCAGGTCTTCTCTCCTGTTCATTCCTTCCCCCACCCCAGTGCCCTTGGGCCTTCTTGGCTTTCCCCATCTATTTCTATGCTTTGTCTCCAAATAGGTGACTCTGGGGCAGCTACCTAATTATATAAAAGTATTAGAGATTCTTCTTTCGCCTTCCTTCTCTGGCCATGTTAACAAAGTCTGGCTCCATCAGTGTGAAAAGTATAGAGAAAGCAAAGCAGAGTAAGGCTGAGCCAAATGTAATGAACGAATGGAATAAAACATGGGTCAAGAAAGAAAGAGGAGATCATCAGTCTCAAGTTGTTTGGCTTACTTCCTAAACTCTGAACACAAAGTGAGATGTGCAAACCACTTATAAAATGTTGGCAGCCTGCTACATAATCTAGTAGTGTCAGATAATCTGCTAGTGCCATACAAATCTGGATATTAAGAAACAGAAAGAGGGGCTAAAACCTGAGCCTCCAGACAAAATCAAGAGGAACAGGTAGGTATGTCTGGCTACAACTTAAGTAAATCAGACTCATCATCTAAAAAACAATAAAAAACATTTTTAAAAAAGTTTGTTACTGAACTTTCTCAAGCTATATCAAAGAATTAGAGACAGTAAAAACATTCTGCATGTGTGACATTCCATCTGGCTCCAATTTAAAAGTATAAAAAGTTCACAGATATTTCACACAAACGTATTTTTGAGCAAATGCTTGAACACACAGTTCAAGTCCTTTCCGATGATGAACATTCCTTCTGCACAGTATATACGCCAAAGGTCTCAATTTGTTTCTCTGTTGTCTTCACTGACATTCCCAAGCTACATATATTACTACCACATAAGCAATTCAAGACGGCAGTACCAACCCCTCTAGGAACAGGAATAACTGTTCAGAGTGTTTATATTAATATTAGCTGGCATGTACTTTCTCTTTAAACACCAACTTTTTATTCTTGGCCTGTGATGTGAGGCATTAGTAATTTAGCAATTAATCATTATGATAAAGGTAATTTATTAGTCAGTCACCATGAAAAATTAAAACAGTCTTGTCAACTTACAATTAATATTTTGAATTTTAGATTTTTGCTATTTCCCAACTGACTAGAAATATAAAACATGAAACAGATTAGTTGATGATTGCTCTATTTCATTTTGATTGGGTAAGACTAAATGATAGGATTGAAGTCCTTGCTACCGAGAGCCCCACCAGTACAGATGCATTAGGATGAAAAAAGATTTTCACTCACTGGGTGGTCTGTTCGCTGCCAAGTTTTTGAAGTGGCTGCCTTTTATCACTTCTGCTGATAATCTTCCAGTTGTAGCGTTATAAAGGAGGCCAATAAGGATTTCTGGAGCTGAGCCATGTACCAGAGACTGACAAGAGGAGGTACTTTCACTGCAGGACACTTCTGACATGCTCATTTGAGAGTCACAACCCTGTAAAACAGATAAAAAGTTCTATGTATTTTATGCAACGATGTTACTGGGAAGTCAATTTTTAGAATAATGTACAGAAAATTAGGAAAGCAATGTACTGACAAGAACAGAAGTTCCATTCAATCACCCAGTAAGAAATGTACATCCTTAATATATCCTCAGTTCGCACATGTTAGAGGTAACAAAGACTAAAGCGGTCCGGAATTAAAATAGTTCTGAATTTTGTGTTTCCGTTGCTGCATAATTCAGGAGAAATAATAGCTGAAGATGAAGAGCAGCCTTTGTGGTCCCTATTTACTTCAATTACTAAGATAAGACCTGTAACATAATTTGTCAGCATCCTGGAGAACATTAAACGTTGGATCTTTTACTTTCCAAAAATGGAAAACACTAGTAGAACTTTGAAGATAATATAATGCAGGAAATTCTTATTCATCCTTTGTAAAGGTTATTCTCTAGACTGAGAATTTATGAGTAGCAAAATAACAGAACACATGCAAATAGAAAAATGCACTCTGTCTAGAATAAATTAGCTTACAAGGAATTTAATTGATCCAGGGATACAGAATTGCAATAGACCCTTTGTCTTGGGTGGGAGAGGAAGAATGCCATACTAAGGCTCAGCAAGTGACGCTTTAATTTTCACTCCACAAGCTTCCAAGGAATTCAAATCTCTCATGCAGTCTCACCATGTCACATCTTTGACGGGAGCTTCTAATATTAATTTTTATCATTTTAACCCCCCATTACTGGCCTTAAAAAAAGAAAAAAGTTAGACTAATGCTAATCATACCATAGTTGTTCCTACTTTCATTTCTTCATTTCATATACTGGCACATAGAGTTGTACCACTGAAAACAAGAAACTGGACGGAATCTAGCCAATGGCAGGGCAATTTGCTTGGTAGCCGGGAAGAGACTTTTGAATTATCAGTACATCCCTTTACGATTCTCTCAGAAAAAACATAAATTGGATCCACAGATTTTTCAAATATGGCTTGACTCATTTGGGAATCTGGCAGCACTCTTTCAAGGAGTCATGATGATTTTGTGAAGCTGATTCTTCCAGATTCCAAATGTCTCTATCATTTCCAGCAACAGCTGACATGGGCGCGAGATCAGTCCTAAAACCTAAATAGCACAAATCCTCATCAAGATAAAAGTTAACTTTAAAAGCGAGTAACTTAATCTGACATATAAAGCCCAAATGCATTACAGAATGTCAAATTATAGAAGACATGATACCTACAAGAAGAAATGATGAACCTACAATAATATCCTTCATACTGACATTTTAACTAGTTCTTCTCAATAGAACATTTCCAAGAAGTCTGGCAGAAGTTTCAAGTAGCAATCCAGTTCCTCATTAATAAACATTCACTGTTGTTAGCAAATGTATTCTTACTACTAAAGAAGGACCTCAACAAAATTCTCTGACTTCCATCCCCCAAGCTGCAAATTCTGAATTTTAAATCTTTGGTTATTTCTCCAAAAGTTCTTTATTCAATTCCAAGAATAAATTTCAAATGGGTTGCAAATTGTAAATTGTTGAAAATGAATTACAAGTATACATTCGTTCTCTGGTTCTTGGCACTCACAAAACAGGAAACTTTTGATTCCTAACTTCAGCAGCAGAATACAAAATGGAAGGTTTAAAAGAAAGATGACTTGATTCAGCCGTCACAGTACACACTGCACACCTGAAAGCCTCAGCCTGTCACAACTGCAGCTATTACTTAAGTTTTCTGGTCTTTTAAAATTGTATCACATTATCCCTATGGTGCTTATTCATCTTATTATTTTGTTGGGCCAGGAATTTAACCACGGTCAACCTGATACTGTTCAAAGCTTAGGTCTGAAATTTGATTGTGATCATGCTGCAAGTCCACAAAAAAGACATAACACAAAGCGAGCAGCTGGGTAACACTCCCTCGCAAACCATCAAAGGGCTTTGACATCAGTACTGACAGAAGGACATGGTAGCACTTTTTCCAAATTGTGACTTATGTGTACAGTTTACTGATGTTCTAACAGGCACTCAGTCTAAATCAGTTTATGACAGTTAAACTGATTACAGTGGGTACCAGAATAAGGTTTAGAATGCTAGAAATAGGAAATAGTAAATGAGCGATGACTGAGAGGGAATGAGTCCTGAAGTACCTTGAAAAAGAAGACAAGTAGCTTCTGTGTGATATAATAGAGAAGGGGGAAAACAACTGAAAAATGAAACAAATGTGATATTACAAAGTTACATAAGAATGGGCTAGAAATATCATTCCTTTACAGCAGAACCCTGAGTGGATGTGAGAAAGACAAGACTGCATTTGTCAAGGCCAAAGAAAAGGATCTCACCAGCTGAATGGTGGGATAAGAAGACCAAGGTGATGCTTCAGGTCTGTAAATGGATGGAAATGCAGCTAAGTGGCTGTACCTTAGAAGTGCTGCACAGAAAGAATTGGTAGGTGTAGCTTTGATGAAAATCTGGAGAGAGGGTCTAACTTAAATGTTTTGCTACAGTGTTTTCTAAAACAAAATATTTTGCCTTTAAGACAGGTGGCAGGTTTGAAACAAACAAAAGCATGTTGTTTAATCCTTAGTGTGTAATAAACTTATGAATCTCCTTCCTCCAAAAAGTTGTGGTGACAGAAGTTTAAAGACATTAAAATAAAGCAACCAAATTCACTGAAGAAACAATCTAAACAATATTTTATTTTCCATTTCACATTAAAAAAAAGACTCCAACCCATTTTGTTTCATGCTAACCCAAATGTATTTGAAAAAATACTCTGCTTTTCAGTTATGAACTGGAAAATCCTAATATAAAAGAAAGTGAGACATTAAGAATAAAAATGAAGCAGTGAGGTGAGGTGCGAAGCAGATTAGAAGACAGACTGATGTTACCGGGTAAAAACAGGGTTAAACGACATAAACCAAAGTATAATTTCTGTGTCTATGATAAGGGAGAAAACAGAGAATTTGGGGGTAAGTAGGCAAAAGACATGAGAAAAAGGGGAAGGTGAGGTAGTATTTTGTCAGTTTTCTTTTGAAAGAAAACAGAAAGATCCTATGAGGAAGAGAAGAAGAAACGGGAATCAGGGAAGGTAAGGAGACAGCTGAGATCAACAGGGCTCAGATCAACAACTGAAGAAAGACTTTTCATTGCAGGACAGTTAAAATCAGGGATACTGAGTATTATTAGATGTCTCCTCAAAAGTATTTTCTCCAGCACAGTTTATTGTTCACATAGGGGAAACCCATTCACTGTTTTAAGTAAGGTATTCTGTGATAATCACGTCTGTTGGTAAGTAACCTGACTTTGTGTTAAGTCCATAAGCTGCACTAGAATTGAAAATAACAGGTTTTCAAGTCTCTGTTCAGAGGTTTTTTTCTGTTTACATAGTCAAAATTCAAGAGTGCTAACAAACTCATCAATAAAAAAGCAAGACAAGAAGTTACATTTTTACCTGCTCAAAATATAAGCTTCATGATCACGTGTCAAATTATAAAATATTAACACTGAAATTGCTAATTGGTACAACAGGAATATAAACTTAGCTACAACGAAGCTTTCATCTCATGACAACATTACAGTGCTACCAGATGCTTTTCATTGCCATACAGATCTGCATTCAATCTATCTGTAAATCTATCTGTAGGCTACTTTGATACTGTAGCTTCACTGTGGGAAACGTACTATTTAGACCAAAAGTTACTATTTGTTTTAAATAATCTGTCTACGTAAGTTTATTTTTATAACTCTTCCCTCTCTTCCTCTATAAACATTGTGTGTATTTTAATAAGCAGGGAAAAAAAGGACTAAGATCCATAATAGCAAAAGCCTTTCAAGGCCTAGTAAGAACTGTTGTAAAATCTTAAATGCAGATTTTTAAGAACTTAGATGAACAGTCAAGGTATTGATGATCTGGCCACAGTGCCAGGAGCTGTCTCTTGAGGTTGTCTCCAGGATATTAATGCTAAATCTCTAACCTATTTTTGTCAATTTAGCCATAACAAAAATATATTATTAACAGTAAACACAAGCAAAAAAACATTAGGTAAAGTCTATTCCAAATATTTGGTTCAAAGGTCTGTATTACTACAGTAAATTACAAATTTTCAGCTTTTCAATTTTATAACACAGAGCTTTGCGCAAAGGACCTAAACCTTTCCCATATACACCGCAGGATAGTACTCTGCTACAAAGTTAGGTGGATTTTATTTGATCAACCCTTACAAGAATAGGTGCTTTTGACTGGATTATGAGAGTAATATGTGTTATATTCTACAAAACCTTAATTACTAATTCTCCAAACTATTGTCCTTGATGACGTCTTTGCATATATCATATAGTGAAGAAACATCACTTTTTAATAAATATATAATAAAAACACTCCCATTAAGTGGTATTTGTATTTCACCTGTTCCTATTGTACAAAAGTTGGCAATCAAAAAAAGAACGCTCTTTTTTCCCTAGTGCCAATGGAAGTGAACACATATAACGCATGATGTCAGACCTGAACCCCTAACAAGTATTTTCAATAATCTTTTTCTCTGCTCTCTGACAACATAGAGAATCCTCTATTTGCAACAATGATAATATATGTAAAATGTATTTATTTGTCTTCCTGCACCATAATTCCATGGAAACAGGATATTTGTGACTTACATATTCATCTCCTACTGTTGTTTTTCTATACCCTGAAGTTCTGCTTATAAGTTCTGCTTATAAATTCTGCTTTTAAGCCAACTGGAGTTAATCACAGGGAATAATGTGGCCATGCTCTGAGGGCAGTTAAAAGTTCATTTTCCTCATTGCACAGGTTAAAATCATGCCTCTGTAGGCTTACGAAACAAGAACATCTGATTCTCTTGGCTTTTCAAAATATACACAGGAAAGATGAAACCTTGCTGACAATCCTTCAGCAACAAAAATCTGATTCACAGCATGTTACTTGTCAAAATGTCTTTCTCAAATTTTAAATGTTAATGTTATACCACTAA